AGTACATTTCCCCCCCTCTATGTTGACGAATATTTTAATTCGCGTTTTCTTTGCAAATTCCAATACGGTCTACGGTCGGTCGGTATCGCACCGCGGTTATTTAACAGTACTGCGAAGAATTTCCATCTACCCCGAAAATCGACGACCTGCAAAACGAATAAAAGTAAGGTTAGGCACATTTTTTTATTCCATCCGGTCGACTGTATAAGTGTCCGGATGGCCGGATCACAAGTATGCGTCGATAACCGCAAGTTTTTAAACGGTACCTTTTGTTTGATATTTTTTTATAGAACATAACCCGCACCAGTCATTAAAAATATACACAGTGGACGTATCCTATAACTGTGCTTTCCAGTGAACCTAATGTATATTATAAATTATTCACAACGCACTGTATTAGAAGGTGTTCCATTTTAGAAGTAAAGTAATATTTATGTTGATATTTTCTAACTACTACTACTTTGACCTGCTACTTAAAATAGAAAGTAGAAACATAGATTTTTAGTTCCTGGTTCTGACTTCCTAGTCATAAGGGACCCTGTATGTTGGTGCGTATTCTCTTGAAGTTGCTTAATATATCAGCAACACCAGCAATACCAGCACTATAAATACTGTTTTTATATATTGTAACGATTTTTTTTCTGATTTGTAGGTCAAACATACTTATTCTAATAATCTGCCGATATTAGATTTAAAAATTCATACAATTATCAAAAAATATCTACTAAACAATGAGAAAGAGAGACGTATTGTACTTGAACTAAAACATATTAGGTACTTATACCTAATACCCAACTGCACTTCCCTCCCGTTCTATCTTTTAAACTCTTATAACTTTAAGAGTAGTGATTGAAAATTAGTTATCAACCAGTGAACATTTATAGTAAAATATTCTTAATTTAAAAAGTTAATAAAATATATACGTTGTCGTATAAGTTTCAAAAGTTGCTATCAAAAAAACTAATTTGGGAAGGGGGTAGGAACATAAAAATGTATGGAAAATCGAGATCACATTATATAAAAACACTATAAAAAAAAAAGAATTATTAATTAAACCCAGTGAGGGACCTACGATAAAAAACGTCACCCTCTTCAAATAAATCAACAAATTTAGCTATTAAAAATATTTTTAATTCCAGGAACAAATACAAACGATAGGGCACAAAGCAAACTGTCCTCTCAGCTTAGTTCAACTTTAAAGCTAAGATATTGTTCTAAAATCAAATATCTTTATAAAACATAATTGTTATTTTATTCCCTTGGATGACGAACGTCGGCTTTATATACTTCCGTTAGTATTTCTTTCATAATACTATATACAACAACGAGAAAGAAAACCCTATAAAGGAAGTGATTCGAGAACGGACAAAATGCACAGTACTCCGGAAATTACATCCCGTACACGCCGCACCGTCTTTAGTCTATATGTATACAGTATACTTTTATGGGGCGTGCACTTGGTGCCCAGTTATACAATAATAAAGTGTCTCGACCAAACTGTATCTGTCGTTTATTTATATAATATATATATCTGCGTCATAATTGTTATTTCGCTTGTACATATTAAAAGCGCAATAACTCTGTCACAGTCACTCGATTATCATGGATTTTCATGTTGTCGTTTTCCAACATAAGGAATCTTATAGTGGATCAAACGTCAAAGCATATATTTAAACATATTTTTTAGGAAACTCTAAATTATTGTCACACCATCATTACAATCATCTTTACCTACCATGCACGATGGAACTAGCTTGGCTTTATGTTACTTCATCTTCTTACAATCCAATCATTCCTGTCGAAGGATATTTACTCTTTTATGCTGTTTAGCATATATTATTATGCTACGAATATAATATTGTGTACCTATCAGAAAACGTCAGTCATTGACCAACAAGTCAAAGTAAAAAATGTAATTCAATATTTTCTTCAGATTAAACCTCAGAACGTTATCAAACGAATGTCGGTTTGTGTTTTTTACTAAAAATATAATTATTTTACGAGTGATTTTGAAAATAAAAATAACGCTTAAAGACTAAATCTGGAATTGACAGCAATTCTCACACATATATAATATATATATACTGGTGCTGACGTCAACACTTTTTATGCTGCAAACATTGGTACTAAGCATCAGGTCAGTTTAACATGACCCCATATGTATCTCAGCCTTCTGTTAAGTTCATTAGGAGTTCTAAATTAATACCAACAAATTATAAAGATTTTATTTATACATTATAGATAAACTGTTAATGTGTGTATACCGATCGCTTATTAAAAGGGTACTTATAAACTTGGCTGTAAACAATTAATTATGGGTTGTGAAAAAACTAAAGAAATAGAACTCTGCTTTTCATTGTCTTCAATGTATATGGGGTTAATATTTTTAGTAACATAGTATACTTTTTTTTTTGACCCATGAAATTAATTTTGCCATAATTTTACCTTTAACTGCAAAATAAAAATTTGTTAGAATTATAGTATAAATAGTATATATTGCGGTTATATTACCAAGTCGCCAGACTATACGCTACACAAACACACTAGAAAAATCAATATTTAAAAAAAAAAAGTAATATAAAAGCTTATATTTAATAGTTAAGTACAAGCGGATGTAGTTTATTTGCTCGTAAATTGAGCAATCAAAATATATATATTTATGAAGCGTAAATAGGAAGATATTAGCCGTATGGCTATTAAGGATTTCCAGTTGATATGGATGTCAAATTAAAAACCTTTGCAAAAAACGATATTAATTTTAAAGTTGATCCGACTAATCCCACAATTTCAGTGGCAATCGCCAAATAAATAATTAAAAGGCAAGCCGGATTTCGACGTAAACTAAACGGAATTAAAATTCAGCATGTACAAAGCAAAGAAAAAACAGATAAAGTCAATTAGGTTAATTATTCGTATAAAACTATCCTTTTTACTAAACCAGTCAACAGAAATTACTACTCGGCATTCAATTATCCATTTTTTGTTTAACACATTTAATTTATGTTAACATTATTAAAAAGTTTTAATCAAATTTGTAACAACAATAAAATATAATTACCTATTGTTGATCCGAAAAAATACAAAGCAAGTCGAGCCAGTTTTTGGTTTTTAACTATGAGTGTATAATATCATATACATATTATATAATACCTAAATAATGTGATGCACCTAAAAAATAATTTTAAAGTTATTATTTTCTAAAAGTTATAGCATGTCATATTTTAAAGTTGAAATATGTTGTTATGTATATTGTTGAAATATATTTTTAGACAAGATCAAGCAATTTAGTTACTCCCTAAGCTACTGTTCGTACTCTGGTTTAATTTTTTCTTTTACTTATATAATATAATATATATAATATGGGGATCCATTCAATTTCTCTTCAGACATATTTCCTTGACTTTAATTGTATACCAAAAAAAAGTGCACTTCTTCTTCAATACACCTCTACTTTTGAATCAATCTTTATAGAGTAAAAGATGAAAAATATATTTCTTATACATCACTGAACTGATATAGTTAATAGCGTTTTGTCTTTGAGAATACATTCAAATATTATTTTTTGTCATGTAAAATTGTTTTAACTAAAATGGTATATAAGTTAAAAATGTTAAGTTTTTTAAAAAGAATATTTACTATTTAGTTAATTTATAGCTGTGGTTATTACTCAGCTAAATATTGGAAGACATGGTGATTACCCATCCGTGCGTAAGCAGTCATCATCGCACATAACGAAGAAAATAAAATATACCTTCCCTTTAATGTACGTGTCAAAGCTTTAAACGATTGGATACCAATTTTGTTGCATAATTCTATTGTAACGATTAAATAATTATCAGCCTACTAGTCTTTCACCTGATTCCAGCTGCTCTGATTGTGTTTACATTTCTTATTGTCGAGATCCCCTGTAATTAGCCGAGAGTTTTGTAAGTGTTTGGATATATACAATAAACTAGTGCTTTTTTCCTTGAAAATCCGCGAGTAAATTATCAAAGTTCACCATTTCGTTATTTTTCAAAAAAAAAAAAGCTTCGATCAGCTTAGATCAACTATTAAATGATTTTTTTAGGTTTGATCGATTTTAGATGATTCGGTATAATTGTATGTTGGTCACCGCAAAATACGACTTGTGAGACGGGGTCCGACAAATATAGAGATAACTTGGTCTACAATACTTTTTTTTTTTTTAATTCTTGTCAAATAAAGTTAAACCATAATATAATAACTTTATATTATTTGTTTTATAAAATAAATTAAACTACTGTCAAAACAAAACTAACGGCAAGCAGCGAGGAGCGGTAAAACCATTGTAGTACGGAATATTAATTTAAAAATAGATTGACTTCGTTACTGGGGTTATCGCAAAATCGTAGAATAAAGCAGGTAATATCATATATCTTTGGATGTGTAATGTGTCAAGCCCCATAAATAACCGGTTGTAGATAAATCGTGGCGCCTCGGATGCCGTGGTCACTATTACAATGAAATAAAAATGGACAATAATTTTCAATGGAAAAATAATTAAATGTTCATGGTAAATACAATAACGACCCCCTCTCGATAACTTGCATTGACAAAATTTTATTCACAATTAATTACAAATGGAATATTTGATATTTTTTTTTGTGAGCAGAGGGGCAATTGCCCCTATTGCCCCCCCCCCCTTGTATCCGCCCTTGCTTGGTAGTCTAGTTCTAGTCTTACGACGTACTCAAGTCTACCTTCAAATTTATCGGCTAGGTATGCTAATTAAAAAAATAACTATATTAGTTTGCTATGACTGCCTTTTTTTTCTTACTTTTACTTTTGTACGTACTTTGGTTTTCCTATGATGGTGATAATTTTTTTCTTCGCTCATACAACTATACAATATGCCTATAAGTTACAAGATTAAATTATAGTAAATAAATTTGTAATCTCTCGGACTCTATATAGTTATATTATTATAGACAATAATCAATACATAATACTAATCTAACAAACATTCTGTATTTTCACAGGTCAATGCACAGAATCCAGAGACTGCCGCACACGAATACCAAGCTGGTACCAAACTAAGTAAGCTTCAATCATATTATATTTTATTCCATTTATCTATTACAAATACAGTTTAATGGTTATCCACGACATATCATGTGGGTCATTTTGCAAATAGTGGTCAACTTCAATATCAAAATTTCACAACTTTAAAAAAAAATGTTTATTTCCAAATGTCAAAATAAAAAAAAGTTTTTTAGTTCGTTTACCCAATGACAATAGCTAATATTAATAGCTGATAATAAATTGCTTTCATACAAAGTCAACGTTATGGTTGTTTTTGGAGAGACCGTTCTCAACGAACTCCTACCAAATTTAAAACTTGATAGGAGAGGAAGGTACCAATTTTAGGACACTCCTCAAATGTGATCCCCAAAATGTATTGATAACGCTGTCATACCATTCCATGCCACTTTTTTCAAGCGACCTATCACTATGTCAGGAGTGGTCTAGAAAGGGTGAGCCATAGATCTCGGAACAAGCCAAAAGTGTGAGGAAATGGCTATTAATTGATTTTTTACCTTTGTTATTGAAGCATAATAATGATTCTAATTGATACTTTTTTTTGGCCTGAATATACCCTTTATAAGAATTTTTCAGCCATGCTAAAAGTAATTATAATAGCTTATGATTTGCCAGAGACAGAAATGTACCACTTTCGGTGAAATAGTCCATATACTCGTATGTTATAGTCAGAGATGAAAATGAGTCACTGCTAAGATATCCTAGGCCCTAGTCAATTATAGTCTAAATGTCAGGAAATGTTAAAATTGATTACTCGTTGATTAATATTTCCTGACCAAGGCAGACAATGTTTCAAATAATAATGGGATTATAAAAATTGATTTGTCAATATTGAGTTTGACTAACGCTTTTTAGACAATGTTATTATATATATTGTTTTTAAAATGATTGGTAAATCGAGTACGTAGGTAAAAATTTCTCTCTAAAACTACCCTTTACAAAAATATTTTTCACTGTACACACAGTTTTATAAGTCGGTCTTGTCAAGTCCACTTATTGATCTTATTTTATAAGAAAACTATTTTAGTCCGACATCATTGTAACTCTATACAATTATTGTTCTTCGGCGACCCTGTACTCTTTTAACTGTAATAGGTACTATGGCTCATATCGCTAATGCCTGCTGTAGATTCGAGTGTACCTGTACAATACTGGTACTTGACATCAATATTTGCCATCTATGGCCAACCATAACGGCTTCGAGACTTAATAATAATAATGTGACGATCTTAACGCGGTTAGACGTGGCGTTGCGGTTAATCACGTCGGAGGTATTTGCGCAGTAGTGAGATCATAATTGAAATCCGACCCATCGAATACGATTATAATTATTGTTGTATATTTAATTAATTTTGGACCAATGAATTTTACTCAAAACGACAGACTACAATAACTATTGTCTCTCAGTATCGGTAGACAGTAATGTTATGCGTGCGACTGATCAAACCGAGTAGGTCTGGGGACGGCAAATTTAACGGTCCCCTCAAGTCTCAGACAAAGCTCATTAGTCCCCGGGCTACCCCGCGTAATTCCATTAAATGTTTTATTCGTATGAACGTGCAACCCCTTGGCCCGGGTCTCGTCGCATAAATGGAGTTTCGAATGGAGCACTCTTCCTCTCTCTCGGTTTGCCGTCGATGGGAGCATTTGCAAAGCATGTGTAATGAGATAATCTGTCGCCGCCATCAGGGCCGCAGGTCGAAGGCAGCTGTAGAAGAGAGAGACTTGGGTTTTCCGGCTGTGGCATGCGAGTGGAAGATTTTTGGACGTGATACAAGTACACGAGGCGCCAACGAAGCGATCAAGCCGAAAGTGGATGATAAGCGACAAGAGTGGGTATCATCGAATTAACCGCCGAAACAGTTTTGAAAAATAAATATGCCGTGAGGTTTCCAAACGACCATATTTAAACTGTACGATAACCCTTACCGGGACTACAAACAGCTTTATCTTATATTATAATAGCGTTGCTATGTATATTTGCTTTTCGAAGACTGTTGGGCTCAAAATCAATACAAATTGTACAAAAAATTATAGTTAATAAAATAATTGAAGAAAGATTACGGTTTTGGATTATGACTAGACTTTAGAAAAATAAGAAGAAAAAAATTTGTTGACTAAATAAAGCGACGTTGTTCTTATAAGAACACTTCATTGTAATTATATGTCTTTATCGCAGAAAATGTCTCAATTACATTTTACGGCTAGTGTAAACTGTAAAGGTTAATTTTTACAAACTGAGAACAATACTCGAGAGGGTTAAATAACGACTTTAGGCTTTCGTCTAAAAAAACCGTCGTTTCAAAGTTTGAATTAAAAACAATATTACAACGGTTCCGCCTTGACTTTGTCTAAACTTTTAACAACACTCGTACACGATATTACTCAACCATAAGACATATATATTTAACATGTTACCAAGCGACACGCATACAGTTAAACGTTTTTACAAGTACATACACAATTTCTGATAATAATCAATAGTGATCATATCACGAGTGTTGGATTAAAATATGTTCTATACGCATTTGTTTGTAACCAAACATGTTATGATTAATTATACTAAAAACAATATTATTGGGTTTATCATGTCACGACAGCCGGTACATGCGGTAAAATGTGAACTTAATTTATATATTATAATTAGCACGTGGTTCTGACACAAGCTAACCCGAGTGGTTTGCAAATCGATCTGTTCTTCTTATAATTACTAGTAGTTTCCGGTCTTTCTATCGCGGGGTAGACAATAATTACTAACGCCGAACATTAAGTCATTAATATTTCAAGTTAGTTTACAATATAGATAAGATACATTGTTCAAAAACTTTTCGTATAGTTTTTTAATTGAATTTAATTTTTGCGTTATCCACATAAATTTGATAATCATTAGTATCTCAGTATTCTGGGAAATCCGTTGTAAACACGCTAAATAACCGACAAACTTTACACTACGAAGACTACAAACGCTAAATCAACTGGGTTTTCTCGTTAAACTGCCTGTAATTGAAATTCAAAGTCTTTGTACTCGATTTACTCGGAACATAATATGTAAAATTACATTTTGACGTTTATTATTGTAGAGGTTTGTAGTTTAGGAAATAAACTGTATAGCTTATGTTGACGTTACACGATAAAGTAAAAAAATAAACCAAGACCATTTGAAAAGAATTTATAAGAAAAATTGACAACAATCTTCTTAATCGCCTTCCCCTTGACTACACACCAGTCACAATTAATAGTCTGTTTGCGGCACAATATTTATACACAAACAGCAAACTAGTATATTTACTTATCATATTAACTTTAAATAATTAAAGTTAATATGATAAGATTCTATCTACAATCTACATATTATATGTATGATAGGAATTATGACATTTGAGTACAAATGTACAAAACTTAGTCTGCACAAAACATTGCTCTCATTCGCCTTATCCCTTAAATTGTCACTTAAGAAGTACACATAATCTGAGCGCACGGCAGTGCGCCAGGCCATGTTCCAGCAATGCCAGTGTATCTTTACACGAACCAATTCATCCAGTTTTTCTAACCCACATATCTCTGTTTTCTCTTAAGATAAGCTTTTAAAATTTGAATTATAAGCTCAAGTAGTTTAGGATACTGTACAAAATTGAGCCCTTAATAGTAAGCCTTATGAAAAGGGGAGAATTTCAAAGTTTTCATTTTTGTTACTGACTGACTGATTCACTCGAGATTAGCTCGGGTTAACTATTTTTTAAAGTTATAAGAGTTTAAGAGTTAGGGTGGGAGGGGAAGTGCGGTTGAAAAATGCGCGCAGATAAAATAGTACTACACTCCACCTTTCCTCCCATTGGCCACAATGTAGACATCAATACTTTGATAGGCTCACTTTCTTGGGAAGGGGTATGGAACTTGGCCATTTTTTACTGATAGGTGTTTGTTGGAGATAATAAATACATATTACTGCATCGTTAGAAGTAATAATATTAAAATACTAACCAAGGTCTAGTATTGCAAGTTTTTGATTGTTCTATTGTATAATAAGTTTGTTTTACGTTTTCAAACTCGCAGTTGTTTAATATGTACATGTTATTGCTATTATATTTTATTATAATATTTAGTTAATATTTATCTACGTTAAAAAATATAGGTCTGTTGTTGCAGACATTTACATAAGTGACAGCTAATATCATTACATACTCCAAGCGCCTATTATTATTTCAAACGTAAAACATAACTGTTCAATAATCAATTCGCTCAAAAATGTTTGAACCCATTGAAAACTTACGCCACGACGTCCCTAGCAACTGTTTATAAGTCATGTGATTTATAAAACGCAATCTGTTAGTGTCGCAAGCGACCATTGTGAACGAATTAAGTCAATATTGTTGGTGGTGACTTGAAAGGGATTTATTACCATACCCACCCGGTCTTTGTTGTCCCCGAAAATAATGGCGAATCTTACAAAATGCCTTTATTCGGTTTTTTGAAAGAAAAAAAAACGTTTTAAAGGGAATGCTGCGCTTTTTTAGACTTTAATAACAGTCTCACAACATCATGCTTGTTATATCATGTATATATAAATATATTTTTTTAATACACATATATTTTATACAACAATATTTTCATGCGAATAATAATAATAATCTGCGTATAATCTGGAGCTTATATGACTCTCTCTTCTCCCTTCTAGTTTGACTTATGCTACATGTCCGCTTAAAAAAAAACATATAGATACATACATTATTATTATTATTTTTCAGAGAAACTCTTAAATTAATGTTATACTAGTGTGCGAATTCCTCATAGGTATTGTGGAGAAAATAATTTTAAACATCCTGGTAAAATTGTAAACGCAATTTTTTTTTTAATTTAATCAACGTTTTTCCATTTTAATTTAAAAAAAACTTTTAATCACGGTATGGCCTTGATTCTGGAATTACAAAATTAAATCAACTATAAAATGGTTGCTTGTTTCTATGGAAAAAAAAACAACGTATTTACATATATTTTTT